TTGTTTTCCAACTGAGATTACTCCTCGCACAGCGACTTGACTAGGTTTCCTGGAACATATCTCAATATTTTATGTCTGTTTGATTTCTGTACCTATCAATGATATATATTAGTTGAATCCAGGGTAATGCTTTTCTTTGTGATAAGACCAAGTAAATCACTGCTGTAAGGCTCTGAGACAGCGAAGTTAAACTTATTATAGGTTTGTGGGTTCCTTAATGATCAAGTTGCAAATCAGTTTGAGGTAGGACAAATTAGAAATCGTCTGCTTTCTCAGAAAAATAGGCCTTAAAAACATCTTTAAGTATCACCATTAGAACTTGTGATTTAGGATTTGATCGGCTTTTGGGAGAAAAATAAATAGGCATCATGCCTATGATATTTTAAGCATCAGAGCTTGGGTTTGATTGCCATTACACTCATGTTAAAATATAATTGCTGTAAATTTGCTCGCTCACTCTGTTCCCTTGAAAGAAATTGAGGATATAAATAAACGCTAATTTAGTCCTAGAAACTTAAAAAGAATTAGTAAGTGAAACCCACCAATCGGACTTCTTCTTCTCCAGATATTACAACAAGTACCTGGTTGAGAAGAAACTGATTTGAAACTCTTCAGTAACTAAAAAACTCCCCTCTGAATCAAGTTGCTCGCGAATGCAGGTTGTTTGAATATGAACAATTTTTGCTTCTAGGTTCATCAAACCTTAAAACTGTGTCCTTTTTTTTGTGCATTGATTGTAAACATAGTGTCATTTGCAAGTAATCTTCCATTTATGTTCCCAATGAGTAGAAATAATAATAAATGTCTCTATCATTCTTATTAAAAATCATGATGATATTCCAGAGTCCAATCCACTCAGTTAAATATTCCTGACTCCAATCCACTCTCAGTTAAACAGAATTGCAATTCTGTACTAGATTTTGAGAACTATGCTGATATTTCTCCATTATAATAATGTTACTGTAAATCTCATTTGCAGTTCCCAGTTGGTCGAGTTCACCGACTTTTGAAAACGAGGGTTTCTGCAAATGGAAGGGTTGGAGCAACAGCAGCTGTTTACACTGCAGCAATATTAGAGTATCTGACAGCAGAAGTGCTGGAGTTGGCAGGGAATGCCAGCAAGGATCTGAAGGTTAAGCGAATCACACCAAGGCACCTGCAGCTCGCAATCCGGGGTGATGAAGAACTTGACACCCTTATCAAAGGAACTATTGCTGGTGGAGGAGTTATCCCCCACATTCACAAATCACTCATCAACAAATCCTCCAAGGAGTGATCGGCGGAATGAGCTTCCAAATGTTTTCTTTTTCTTTTTATCCCTACAGAGATGAGAGAAATGTATGGCAGACTCTGAAATTTGTGATGATAAAGTTGTTTTTTACCTAGTCTTGTGAGGAAAAATGTTAGTTCCTTTTTCTTTTAGCAGGTAGGTATGATATTTGAAAGCATGGATTTTTGTTGTGTAATCTGATATCTCTTCTTTCATGGTTCTGCATAAAATCTGTTCTATTGAGTTTGAGTAGACAGGCATGGCATGTCTTGTTATTGTAGGTAGGAGGATGGTCGTGCTGCCAAGAAAACTCCCTTGTCATTTACCAATGGCGGATCTGGTTTTCTCTTCTATCCTTATAGTTGTCTCATTTCTTTATTTTTACTTTTATTCCTCAGTTTAATAATGATTTTAATACTTATGATTAGCATATATATATATATGTATTTTAGTATTCGAGTATATATATATATATATATTAAATCAACTTTAAGGTATTGATAAAAAATGAGTTGAGTCATTATCCAAATCTCAGAATTTATATATATTTTCTATGTAAAATTCAAATTTTGTCAAGTTCAATTTTATTATAAATGAAAAATATAGTTTAATAATGTATTAAAGTTTTTTAAATAAATTAACGCGTGTTGATTTTTTTATAATATAAATTATAAGGTGATAATTAACTCTAAACTTAAAAGATTAAGTCCAAACTTATTTAATTATTATTATTATTGTTATTATTATTATTACAAATACTGTTGTGAACTTTTTTGTAATTTAAATTACCATTTTGCCCTTCGTTTCTGTCGCTAACGTACAAAAAACCGAACCTTCAAATGGAAATATTTCCTCTCTAATCTGCCAAGTCAGCATTTCCCAAAGTGCACGAAAGTCGAAAGCTGTCACATCAATCAAGAAAAAAGCGCAAAACACATCACCTCCTTCGATGTCCTCCACGTGTCCTACCTTATCCAAATCACTTCCCCTCTTTACTCCCTCTGCTTCCTACTGTTGTACTTTTATTCCATTATTAACCTTCATAGGTCCCTAAAGTACAACTTTTTCAAGCGAGATGCAGGTGACTATTCCCTTCCCTTCCTCCTATTGTACTTTTATTCCATTGTTAACCTTCGTGGTCCCTAACTTTCCGGCGTCTTTTTTCCTCGAGGTTCCATGTGTTGGAGATGCAGGTGATAGAAATTACCAGACCCCAACTCTAGTTTATCGTCCATTTTCAGACGCATCTGCACTGGATCTCAGTAATCTCTAATCCATTCTCTTCCTTTTCTCTCTCTCTCTCTCTCTCCATCGACCTTCGCATGGCTACCTCTCTCGCCTGCTCTCTCCCCCCCGCGATCAGAGCCTCCTCCGGTTCCCTCTCGAAGAAACCCGACTTGAATCACAAGAAACCCGTTTCCTCAACCTGGTGGGCCCCGCTCTTCGGATGGTCCGCCGATCCGGATTACATCAACACTGCCTTAACAAATGAACCGCCTGAGAAGAAGATCCAAATGTCGGATCCGGAAAACGAAATGGGTCGACACAGACCCAGGTTCCCGCTCGGGTGCTTCACAGAAGAGAAAGCGAAGCAGCTTAGGAAAACGACCATGGAGGGCTCCTCATTCCATGATATGATGTACCACTCGGCCATCGCGTCTCGTCTTGCTTCAGAAGCCTCGAGTTGGCACGGCGAGTAAAAATCTCGACGGAGATCCGGCAATGTCGTCGGGTATGCTGGCCTGTAAAATTTGTCGAAATTATATTATCCTATTTTCTCTTTTTTTTTTTTTTTTTTTCCCCAATCCATGGCCTTATAAGTGAGTCGAGACTAGTTGTGTATGCTTTACAAACCCTTTAGGATTGACACAGTGTGTGTGGATGTCTTATTTTTCTGATATCTAATTTGCTTTTCTCTCTCGAGGACCCACATTTGACGTGGCAGTATAATGGACCGTCCGATAATGATGATGATCACGATCTACCAACCCAATTTCCTGTGATTTTCATGGTTTGCTATTACTATTATTATTACAATTAACTTTTAAATGGGATAATTATTTTCTTGTTGAGTAAGTAAAATCATTTAAGAAATAATTTTATTTAATTTTAAATATTTATAATTTTTTACTTATATAAGTATAGGTTTATACCATGTGATTATTAGAGTTTTAGGAAAGAAATTATTCTCTTTATTTTCATTTTTTTTTTTACAGTGATATTTTATATTTGCGCAGGAAGATGTAATGAAGTGTAATACTAATTAGAATTAGTTAAAAATTGGTTAATCGACTAATTATAATTAATTAAAACCGGAAAATCTCTCGGACAAAATCAATCATATCGACTGGTATAAGGATCATAACTATACTAAAATGGTGGAAGTGTAATCAATCTAGTTTGGACGATATGATTCCAGAGCATCCGAGTGTTGTGAGAAGACCGCCGATGTTCCGGAGGAGATGAAGATATGAACCAGCAGCCATGGAAACGAGCGAACAGCATAAGGAGAGAGAAACCTGAAATTTTGCAAGATGAAAAAACGTAAACCCTAGAAATTATCATATCCAAACAAATCCTTATGATTGAAAGATATTCTTCAAGATCGCAAACGCAAAACGTAATGTCCAAGATTCCCCTCCGTTCTCCCTCTATTTTCCTCGCAAACAAAAACAAGAATTCGAAAAGGAGAAGGTTCCTCAAGAAAATCACTTGCGTCGGATAAGTCTGGACTGCGGGAGAGAGATCTGTCGTAAGTTTTTCAGAGAATCGTAGCTCTATCTGTTCTTTGATTGAGAGTCGAAGAAAGAAGAGAACGCATCGATTGTTGTTTGCTGGTTCATATCTTCATCTCCTGTGGAAACACCGGCGGCTTCTCACAAGTACTACTACTATTAAATTAATAAGTTTTGGAATTATTTTAATCAATTGCATCATTTATAATTTTAAAAGTAAAGAGATTGTTATATCTCAATTCTCGTAAAAGACAATAGTTAGAAAAATGATAATACTACATAATTTTTAAGGAACCCATAAAACATGTATTTCTTTTAATTTTCTCGAATGATACATGACAAATTAATGCCTCCACCACACTTTTCCTTTAATCTCGAGCAAGCTCTCAATTGTATATTAGATTCATGTATATCTTGATGTGAAAAATAGTTCTTGAAATGTTCTATAACATGGGCTACAATATTTTTCATATAACATTTACAACAACTCTACCAAATTTTGCATATGAAATGAATCATTCGAGATTCATGATAACTTTACCAACTATACATTCTTAGCCCAAGCCTCCCTTGTTTCCATTTAGGTACACATGAAATCCTGAGTATTTAAGTTTTTTAAACCATAATTATGAAACTGCATTATAATCCTTAAAGAGCTATTCGCCATTGTTAAAGTTTTATGTTATGATCCACGACTCAAACATCTTTTCTACAACATTTTGTCGCCCAATTTGAAGTCTATTAAGAAGAGAAAGGCAATAATGCATATAGGTAAAGTAAGTTCATCCTTGCATTATCGTAGACAATCATACGAACAAAATGGTCAGTAGTGATCGTAATTTAAACATTCATGTCACTCGTAAAACATAATTTAGAATCAACTTCTAAACTTAAGTTGAATGAACTCAATCTTGCTTTTCAAAACTTATATTCTAAAAGTTAAGATAACATACACTCATTTTGAC